TAGATATGTTTTATGAAGACTTGAACACTGTAATCTCCTTTACACAGACTGCTGACAAAAGCATCATTCTTGGAGATTTCAGTGCACTTGTCCGCAGTGACTACACCTCCCGGGGGGGGGGGGGAAGTGATGGAAAAGAATGGTGTTGGAAAGTTCACCAGCAAAGGCCTACTGCTACTTCAGACCTGTGCTGATCACGGCCTTCTAATAGCAAACACCACCTTCTGCCTACCAGTGCGCAATAGGACCTCGATGCAACCCCATTCAAAACAATGGCACCTTATGATGCAGAACGTACAGAAGTTCATAAACACTTTGCGTTAGAAAGATCCGGAACATCAAATGGCCAAACACCATCAACGAAAATGACTTACTAAAAAGGACATAACAGGAGCCTATTGCTGAAGACATCATAAGTAAAAAGATGGAGTTGGATAGGACACATCGGCATACCCCGATATAACAATCACAAGACAATGCCTAACATGAAATCCACAGGGGAAAAAGAAAAAGTGGAAGCCTTAAAAATACATGGAGACGCGAGATAGATGCAGACACACAAAGTATGGGAATCACCTGGAAGCAGCTAGAAAGGAAAGCACGAATGGAACATTCTTGTAGACGCCCTATGCCCCGGACGGGGTAAAAGGCATAAGTTATTATTTCAAAATCAAGAGGTGAATTTTTGAGTATAGTTGAATTCATTGTTTAGATTAGACTTTTTGATCAGGGGAACTAAATTTTTAGCGGTCTGGGGAGACATTTGGGTGCCAGTGCCATACATAAACTAAATTCAGTCCAACTGTTGCGTGCCCCAGGTTATTCATTTCGCTTAAGATTATATTTAACCATATACTGTAAGATTGATCAGGATGGGTGATGGATGTAGAAATTGAGGGGGATGGGACAGTCCCACAAATTTAAAATGCAAGGGTGCATTTTGGCGCACACTTGATTTTGGTGTTTCTTTCAGACAAATTTGAGGTGACATTTCAAACTTTTGCTCAGCAATCCATTAGACTGCAGTGGGCCTCGAATATTTTAGGGCTTAAAGATGTGATGTGGATATTTCCTTACTTATCATATTTTAATGCAAGATGGGTGGAGTGAGAAGCTCGACACCCTAAATTTGCTAAGCATAAAATTCTTTGAAGTCTACGAACGGCTAACATGTGTGGAACCCCCCCCCCCCCCCCCCCCAAAAAAAAAAAAAAAAAAAAAAAACCTACAAAACGTCATTGTTTTGAAAAAAAAACAAACAAACAAAATGACTTCACATGAGTTCTCGATGGATTAAAGTAACAAGATCTCTGCTGAAAACAGGCGCATCAATGTTACACTTTGAAACAGGCAAATTGAACACATCAGCAGATATCAGCACACATCAGCACACATCGCTCCATTAGAAACTAAGATGTTACAACGGACATGAATGAGAAACAAGATGAGGCTACCATGTGAATATCCAAACTATGAGCACTTTTGGAAATAGCAGTTTGTTTGAAAATAGATCAGAGGTCCCCAAACTTTTTTGTCTCGTTGACCACTTTCCATGTTTTTCGGGTCTCCCCCTGCTTACCTGATATTGTTTTGTTGGTTTTTTTTCAAATTCATAAAATGCAAATGTATTTTTGACAGCCGGTAAAGTGCTATTTACTTTGAAAGATTTAAATTTATAACGGTAGTGAAGTGAAGTGTGAAAATTTTTTTTGAAAACATGTTAAGTTTTATTCATTTTTTTAATTAAATTCAAATTAAAACAAACCAAATTAAAATGTACTTTCTGTTACATAAAATAACTGAGCAAAAAATAAATGCTTTTAGTGTGAGCGATAAACCTGATGCATTAATAATACTTTTTCAACATTTGGCATCAATTTAGTTAGTCCAGATTCAATCTCAAATCTCCTCGGTGAACGATGTTAAGTTTGTTTCTTTTTTTTTTCTTTTTTTTGTTATGAGATTGGGAACTGCGCTGAAACCTCTTTCCACTAGGTATCAGGCCCGTTCTAAGGCATTGGCTGACTACGCATCCGCGTAGGGCTCCGAACGTGAGGGGGCCCTGTGAGGTGTTTTCTACTCAGCTTGTGGGAGCTTCGCCCCCGGATCCCCCCTTCTGTGGCCCCCAACCTACGCTCCATGCTTAGGGCTCCCAAACTCCTAAGAACGGCTCTGTAGGTATGAGGATGGAAAAGCAATTAAAAACTTTCTCGTGACATTCCCATATACGGGATCAGTAATAGGTAAGTCTTTTTGAAGCCAGTATTGGCTGATATCCGTTTCTAAACTGTACCTAAAGTTCTTCGTTAGTGCTTATTTCGATCAGTTCCTCTCGTCACATGACGTCGGTTTCTTCAATGTCACCATATGCATATGGAGGATATATGTCTTTATATTGTTATGTAGGACGTGTTTACGTCATAATTCCCCCCCCCCTCCCGCTCCGATCCCTAGCAGACGCTGCGTGCGTATTGGGCGTGGCTATCGCCTGTTCTTGTTAACTCGAAGGCTTTAGAGAATTATAGTAAAAATAAATTGTAGAATGTTCTAGTTACTAGTACAATCCGGAATACGCCTCAAATTATTGGTATAACCGATTATAAAAGCAAAGAGAGCAATACTGAGGAAAAGGTTTACGATTTTGACTTCATGAGACAAGAATGGTTTATTTTGTGTTTACTTATATGTGTTGATTCATATTCATCATTGTACCTTATTTTTTGGCACATTGTACTAACTGTGTACCGGTACAAGACCTACCATACTCTTTCAGTTGATTATTTTAATGATATTTCTTTTATTTTGTAATCCATAGTAATTTAATTTATCTTATTAATTGTAATTAGAACTGTTTTGATTGTCGTATTTTTGCCACTGTATTTCTCATATTCTTATGGTATCGTCTTTTGTTAGGCATTGTTTAGAACGAGCCATAAACTTAAAGTAAGAGATAAATTTCTCACTATAGACAGCAGTGCATAACAATATTATAATGTAATATTATCTAATTAAATAGGTACTATCTGTGTATGTAGGTTATTTCATTCATGGATGGCCATAATAGAAGTCACGACCTGCTTACATGACATCCACTATCGTTGACCCCCATTTTCATTTCATGGACCCATCCCACATGACATCCACTATCGTTGACCACCATTTTCATTTCATGGACCCATCCCACATGACATCCACTATCGTTGACCCCCCCCCTCATTTTCATTTCATGGACCCATCCCACATGACATCCACTATCGTTGACCACCATTTTCATTTCATGGACCCATCCCACATGACATCCACTATCGTTGACCACCATTTTCATTTCATGGACCCATCCCACATGACATCCACTATCGTT